GGAGACTAGTCTGAAGGCAGAAAAAAGTCCCTGCTCGAAACAGGGACCAGGCAAGCAAAGAACAGCTTCAAGCCATGCATCCCAGGCTTCTAAGCTCCCACTGCTCACACCTGGTCCCTTGTTCTCTCTTCCACAAGACGGTAGCCAGGCTCTGATGCCCTGAAAGTCCTTCAAGCCAAATGCACACTCAAAAGGACCTGGCAGAAGTAAGATGCTCTACCAGGGTCTTGAAAGTACATCTTATACTATCTCTGCCTCATCCCCATCCTCCTGCCTCCCACAACAAATAGAGCGGAGTCTTCTTTGCTGATAGCCAAGGCTGGTCCCCCAAGGACTGTCAGCATGAAGAGACTATCCAGTCAAGTGTGACCTCTGTCCTAGCTGTGGCTGAGCTGGTCAGACCTTCCGTGGATCAGGAAGGGCAGGAAGAGACCCTTTCAGAACCCAGCAGCTTAGAGAGGAGAGGACTGCTCAGGAGCAGGAGAACCACATACCTACAGTCTGCAGCCCAGCCTCCTCCCCAGGTAGCACAGGGAACACAAGGGGAAAAGAAGAGCCAGGTACTGAAAGGGCCTTGCTATGCAAGAGAGAGGGGAGTGAGAAAGGGAAACTGAGGATAAGGGAAGGATCCCATAATCAGGTAGGCACCCCATGTACAGCAGATGACTAAGGCCCCATGCCCAGGTGCACCTCGACCCAGAGCACAGCCAGCCAGCACAGCCTGCCAGAGGTTCCTGTAAGCTCACTTGTCCCAGGACCAAGGCTCCCCACCAAGGCTTCAGAGAAGGCCTGAGTATGCTGTTCCAAATATGTCTATGGTAGTGGCAAGACAAGCTGCCTGGAGCAGGTCCCTTAGATTTAATCTCAATAAACTGATGGAGAAATAAAGAGCTCTTTGCAGGGGTGGTGGTGGTGGCATTACTAGGGATGAAACTCACTGAACTACATGCCCAGCCCTTTTTATTTTTTAAGACAGGGTCTCACCAAGTCACCCAGGCTGGACTTGAACTTGCTATTGTTCTGCCTCAGCCTCCCAGAGTGCTGGGATTACAGGCGTGCACTACTACACTCAGCTATACCCTTTCTGAGGGGCTTTGAGGAAATAATGGACTACTCACCTATGTGCCAAGGGCTGGTATCACATCCCAGCTCTGAGAACCCTTACACAGGCCAGGCAGCTTTCGGCTCCAGTGGAACCCTGGGGGCTCTGCTCTGCTCCCTGTCCTAGTATAGATCTGTCTCCTCCTGCTCCTTTAGGAGGCCTGCCCTGACCATCTGCTTCTTCAAGTTGTCAGGCCTAGCAAGGAGAATCATAGTCTTAAATTCCAGCTGTGATGCTCTGGCAGTCCCACATTCTTTCAGCCTCAGTTTCTTCATTAGGAAACTGGGAATTTCTTTTACCTTACAAGGATGCTCTGAGGGCCTTGCTGGAAACTCAGCTGCCTGCTTGTCTGTCTAGTGCTATTGACATGGAGCCTACGAAAGACAGCAGAAGAGACAAATGCTTGTCAAAGCTGGGCCAGCCATTTTTTGAACAGCCATGAAGACTGAATTCCCCTACATGAAGATCATAGGGTCATGTGGCAAAGGAAAAATGATGCTGGGGAATACCCTCCTTCTCATTCCTGGGCAGCAGCTGCCACTATACCAGATCAAAAGTACAGGGGAGGGGCCAGTGCTCCCTTCCCAAGACAGAGGGAACCCTAGTCAAACTGTAGAGTCCAGGTTACATCCACAAAAACTGACTAGGTATCTAACTACGTCCTTCTGGATGGTCTGCATCTACTGACCTCCAAGTCACTTCAGAGAGGTTGGGGGTCCAGCAGAGTCAGGTCCCAGCACTTTCCAGCACAAAAGGATTCCACAAACACCTGAGAGCAGGCAAGCCTGACTTAGCATCCAGTCCCTTTCACATCTTGGTAAACAGGAAGATGCCATTCTATAGCTGGATGAGACCTGTGAGATCCCCTTACATGGGATCCTACACAACTATGAGTTACTGCTTAGGTCACAGCTACACAGGATCCTCATTAATACATATGTTACCTAAAGTTTAGACTCTAGAGGAATTTACCTCTTTAGAGCAACAAGGAAACAGAGGGTCCAAAAAGTTCTGTCGTAGTAACTCATGGCTAGCTGGGTTTCTCTGGTAGTGTCCCCAAAGCAACCATCAGTCCTCACATCAGGTATACAGAGAAAAAGGAGGGCAGCT